TGCCAGCCTCTGTGTGGCATTTCTACGGCCTCCAACTGAACATCAAACTGAAGATGTATAAGGCCTTCGCCCTGAGGAAACGCCTATACGGCGTGGCCAAACTCGGAAGTTGAATCACTTCCTTCTCAGCCGCTTTTGGAGAATTCCGAATCGGAGAGGGCAGAATAGGATCCAGTATATGGAAATCTTGTAGCGAAGCGGAATTCTCAGCATCCACTTCATGTCTAGACAAGTGCAACTGTGATGGGGCGGCCACTTGGGGAGGATGGACGACGAACGAATACCCAAACGGCTCTTCTGCAACGATGTCACTCATTAACATCATTCCCTCTGCCGCGGTCCCCACGTCGATCACAACGGCGATGCTCTCATCACCTCCGCTGACGCGCCACCTGTTACCATCACCCCTTCTACCAGCAATAGGGACTCGAGCCTAGCCTGTCCCCATAACGATCGTGTATTTACCTCACGCAGAGGCCTGATCGGTCACTTGCGAATCTATCGCGCGGAGTCTGGCGAACCAGTGCCTGGAACACTAACACAGACCAGAGACCACCACCTCAACTGTCCTGCTGCCCTCGTGCATGCACTCACCGCATGGGCCTATTCGGTCACATGCGCATCTATGCTAGCAGAATTAAGCACGGTACTGGCACACCTAACAAATCCCGCACACCTATAAACAATCCCACTCCCAGCCCGCAACAGCACCGACTTCTAAGCATCTCCCGAAATATCCTGCACTCACTGCCACTGCACATTCACATCACGCACCGGCCTGATCGGTCACTTGTGAACCCATTGCTCAGGGACTGTGGAACCAGTGTCTGGGGCTCCGCAGCCATCTTAACTGTTCACGCACACTCATACACTGCATGGGCCTATTAGGACACATACGCCTTGAAGAAAAACTGCAGAAGAACACCTCCGGCTGTAACTTTTCGTCACATCTCCCTCAGCAGCGCCTATACCATACACGTTTACACCCAACACCACGCATTTGCAGCCAGCACCTTTCACTTAAAAGGGGAGTATGTCCGTCGACCCCTTCTCCATGTGGCCCGTCTACTGCATGCGTGATCGGGGCCTCAGACTTTAACGCCTCGCTAAAAACCGCGGCTTGGAAGGCTGACAACCGATGCTTTATAACAGACCACGCCATCAGCCCAGTTTGCGTTCTCACAGAGTGGCTGCCAAATGGACTGGGAGCCAAATGGCGCCTTCTTAAACCTAGTTTTTGTAAACCCGGTGTGTGCGTCAAGGGGTCCAGGCCGTGCCGTGCGCAAACGGATTCATTATCCTGTCAGTCGCTGCGCCCACCCCACCCCACGCAAGACAACTGTGGGGTGGCCTTACGCTGGGGTGCGAGAGTGAGGTTGGCTGCTCAGTATACTTTCCATATATAAGCAACCTGACGCGCTTTAAACTATCACAGTGCGCTAAAAGCCGTGGATTGGAAGGTTTTCAACTGATAGGATAACTTGGATCGCGTGATCAGCCCAGTGTGTGCTTGTTCGGAGTGGCTGACTGGCTCCTTCTTTATGTGGCCTTCATGGCACTCCCACACAGCTGGGATGTGAGCTAGGTGTGGCCGCAGGCTAAGAGGTAGCTCCAGCCACACGAGCCATCCGCATCCTCTTCTCGACTCCGTCTTGACGCCGAGGTCAGCTGGGTGATATATATGCATCACAAGTATACTCTCACTTTCATCCAGCGCAAGTCACCGTCCCTGCATCAGTACAGAATTAAAGAAGATTATGCGCAACAACCATCAGACAAGATAGCGATTGACATAAGAGCCACTATTTCCTGGTCTGGATAGATTCCTATCAGTCATTAGTGGGGACTGGGATATACTATAGATGAGGCTGATGGCGCCAGTGTTTAGCCGCGTTGCCTTCTCTTCCGATTGGGAACGCTCGAATGGACAGGAATATGCAATGCAGTTGGTATTCGAGCGCTGCTGAAATCGGCCAACCAATTCATTACTACACTCGGGACTTGTTACCGTTAATCTGCAAACACACAGCAGCCAGAACTGGTATCGATGAGTAGAGTACCGGTATTGCGCATACAGGACTGGGCAGATGATGGTACCAAACGAAACCTTCATCGACGCAGGTGACGCACGTTCGGGTTAGCACTTAAAAACGACAGAGCTGGCTGTAATGTCGCGCGAACTAGTTGTGTGACCAGGATACAGGCCCTTAAGGAATAGAAATCTACCAGTTCTTCGTTCCTATGTGCTGTTAAAAGGGTCTCTGAGCTGTCAGGGTGCCTGAATTCTTAAAAGACACACAGGAAATGCATATGAACACAGGCTACCTAAGGCTCCCTGACAATCGACTACTTTAGAGAAGCGAGGGTTGACGCGAGCATGGCGACCGCTCGGCGCTGCGTTCTTCGTTGATTGGTTGCTGGCAGGTAACGCCCAGGTGCACGTACGCGCTCCGCTGTGGGAGCTAACAACCTTAACGGTTGTTCCTAGCCTGGTGAAGTGACTTGACGCCAGCTGAGTCGTGCGTATGCTGTCGCACCTCAATAAAGTTTGTCCAATAACTTTCTCTTCCTTACTTTTTGGTTTGACAGTTTTCAAGTCGTCCACGACAGCAGCC